CCTTAACACGCGCACCTGTCCCCAGACACACGCCCCTGTCCATAGTTCTAATGATCCCTGAGATTTTGTAAACGTAATATTCTGAATACCGCCGCTCCCGCATGGCATCTGCCCGTTTCAAAGCTCAACGGCAATTTGTATATCAATAAGCTCTTTTACATAGAAGGTAGGGATGTTGTTTCTACCACATTGAAGCATCATTCTTAAGTGTCTTTCAATTTAAAAGTTTGTAGGCCCGGCTCTCGCTTCCTGCTTTTTTTTTTCTTTCTTCCGCGCGAGTCACACACATGCGGCTGCCCCGTCTCCACTCTGTCCACTCAGGCCAGAGTGCAGTGGCCACAAACTCAGGGCTTCACTACCAGCCCGCCAACCGCGCCCTCGCCCGCGCGCTCCCCCGCCTCGGCTTCCACACAGCCATCTGTCTTTCCTGCTCTCAGGCCGCCCTCCTAATGCCGCCCCTGTGTTGCTGACCTGCCGTCCCGGCCACAGGTGCTGGACCTGGTGGAGGTGCTAGTGACCAAGCAGCCCGAGAATGCCCTGGTCCTGGAGCTGCTGGAGCCGCTGCTGAGCATCATCCGGCGCAGCCTGCGCAGCAGCAGCTCCAAACAGGAGCAGGACTTTCTGCACAAGACGGCGCGCATCTTCACGTGAGCACCGTGGGGCAGGGCAGGGCAGGGCAGGCGGGTGCGGCCGGCAGCCCCCAGGCACAGGAGGGCCAGAGCTCTAGGCTTGCTGTCTGCACAGGAAGGGAGAGAGCCAGGCTTCCAGCCTGGGCCCCCAGCTTGCAGGCTCCCTGCTCAGCCCTAGAGGCACACGTCACTCAGTGAATCCCACAGTCCTTGCTTCATCCCCACGTTCTCCTGCCACAGTGCCAGCAGTGCCCTGGAGCTGGGGGCCATCCCTGCCCTTGACAGTCTCGAGTGGGGGTGGAGGGGGACAGTGAGAGCACCTGTGGCAGGGGACACACAACCCAGTCCTCAGAGGTGTAGCGTGCGTGAGAGTTTGTCAGGCTGGGAGGCCTTGGGCAGGGCAGAGAGGGAGGAAGAGCATCCTGACGGGAGCCGGTCAGACACGCAGCTGGAAGGTCAGGTGAGCAGCGAGGCCACGGGCCCCTGTACCCTTGCAGGCCCTGACCCTAGCGGTGCTGGGGGCCACGGAGGCATTATCAGCAAGAGCACTGGCGTGGGGAAGGGTCTGGGTCTGGTTTCCCTTTTCAGAAATGGCTGGCAGTGCAGAGAAGGGTTTGGGAGGGGCCGTGCTGGAGGCAGGGGGCCCAGGAGAGAGGCAGGTGCCAGGTAGACCTGCCTGCAGAGCTCAGGTGCTGGGGAGGTGAAGGCCTGGGACCCGGGCGCTGCATGGATAGTCTGGAGGGAGGGGAGTGTGACTGGCAGTGCATTCTTCCCAGCCCCAGGCCACGCCTTCTCAGATAGTTCTGCCAGTGTGCGTGGACAGTGTTCGTTGAGCATCCTGCCTCTTGTCCCATTGTGTCCCCACCCCTGCAGGGCCACATAGGGTTCTGAGCACACCAACCCTTGTCTGTCTTTACACAAGGCCGGGAGGCCACAGCCCCAGGAGAGACAAGTGTGGGCGGGAGGGGTGCCCCAGGTGGGTGGGTGGCCATTGGTGCAGCCTCCGCTCAGGGAGCTGTTCTGTTCTCCCCTGGGGTGCTCCACTCCCCCAAGCACGCTGAGCCCACACGGCTTCCAAGCAGCCTGCAGGCGGCCCTGGGCCTTCCTCTGTGGCCTGGGTCTCCTCTGTCTTCTAGGTCTGTTTCTCCACCTATAAAGTGGGACTTGGGCTGGCTCTGCTTGGCGGAGCAGGGTGGACCGAGAATGTTGTGACCAGCTCTCGTCCTCACCACCCACAGGCACCACCTGTGCCGTGCCCGGCGCTACTGCCACGACTTGGGCGAGCGCGCAGAGGCACTGCATGCCCAGTTGGAGCGGTTGGTGCAGCAGGCTGGCCGCCAGCCCGACTCCGCCACCGCCCTCTACCACTTCAACGCCTCCCTCTACCTGCTCCGGGTCTTAAAGGGCAGCACTGCCGAGGGCTGCGGGCGTGAGACACGGGAGAAGCAGAAAGCCGGCACTGACCCCAGCCCCGTGCCCACCGGCCCGCAGGTGAGCAGGGCCTGGCCCAGGAGCAGCCCCAGGAGCAGCCCCAGGCATTTCACAGCCAGGGAGGGGAGGCCGGGACTTCCCCAGGGCCCAACCCTCAGCCTGCTGAAGGGAGGCCAGGCTCTGCTCCCGTCCCAGGGACCCCTCTCCTGGCCTCACCAAACCCTCTCTCGCTTGGCCTAGGCTGCCAGCTGCTTGGACTTGAACCTGGTGACCCGGGTGTACTCATCAGCGCTGAGCTCCTTCCTGACCAAGCGCAACAGCCCCCTCACAGTTCCCATGTTCCTCAGCCTCTTCTCCCGGCACCCGGTGAGTGTTGGGCCCTGCCCTGCTGACTCAGGGTCCCTGCTCAGCCCAGCCTGCACCTCACAGCCCTTGTCACTCCCCACCAGGTTCTCTGTAAGAGGCTTCTCCCCATCCTGGTCCAGCATGTCACAGGCCCAGTGCGGCCCCGCCATCAGGTAAGAGGCTTCCCAGCTCCCAGCCCAGGGCCTGTCTGAATTAACCCACTTAACCCTCTTCTGACTGGATATTGTGAGGCCCCAGAGCGCTGCCCTGGTGAGCACGGGCACAGCCGTCCTTGCCTTACTGGCCTGACTGTGGTACACGCTCTCTGATGGGGGTGGCCGTGCCCTGGCCCCTGCCACACCTTGAACACAGAGGAGCAGAGGGGGCAGGGCCGGCCTCATTCCCGCAGCCACTGCTGCCTGTCCTGCCACACAGAGGATGCCCCTGGTAGCATCTGCTCAGGTGCCAGGGCTGTCGGGGGCAGGCTGGAGGAAGATGGCATTAAGCCAGTAATGGGCAGGAGTTGTCCCAACCTGAGGTCCCACCTCTGTCCAGCCGGGAGGTTTTGGTGTCCCCCACCTGCACACGAAGGCCTGGGAGCAGGTGGCCACAAAGCCCAGAGCAGCAGGCAGCCTCGCACGCTGCCCACGGCAGCGCCCGGCAGGCCCCGAGCCCTCATGCGTCCCTGAGCCGTGCGCACCCAATGTGCCGAGGCTCCTACCACCCACCTTTGCCCAACCACAGGCCTGCCTGCTGCTCCAGAAGGCCCTGTCCCTGCGGGAGGTGAGGTCGTGCTTTGAGGACCCCGAGTGGAAGCAGCTGATGGGCCAGGTCCTAGCAAAGGTCACCGAGGTAACAGCCGGGGGCGCCCCTTTCCCTCCCCCCTCAGAGTCAGTTCTCTGGGAGAGTTCTCCGATCTCTGGGAGAGATGTGAGGATTGGAGCCTGAGTCGGGAGTGGGGGGAACTGGGGTTGTCCCAGGAAACGGTCCCTGCCTCTGGGCCCTAGTCCCGGCGGGGAAACAGAAAGGCTTTGAGCCGCTCTCCGGAGCGCCTCAGCCTGGCCACCCTCCCCTAGAACCTGCGCGTGCTGGGGGAGGCGCAGACCAAGACGGAACACCAGCAGGCACTGTCCTCCCTGGAGCTGCTCAATGCTCTCTTCAGGACCTGCAAACAGGAGGTGAGGCAGGGGCCCAGCCTGGGGTCGTGTTGGGGTTCCTCTTGGGGGCCTCGGGGCCCGCTGGGCAGCAGTGCCATGCCCAGGCTGGACTGCGGGGATGGGGGTCACGTGGGGAAACTTCGGAGCGCCTGGGCCAGGGCTCTGGATTGTCATTTGGGCAGTTACCGAACCACGGATGGGTGAGTGACTTAGGAAGGGACTGTGCCACCCTGTCCTCCTCCTGCAGGGCGGCGTGAGGGGGTGTGGTGCTGTCACATCCACTGAGAAAGCCGAGAAGGGGCTGGCAGGGCTGGAGACTGGAAGGGTTGGAGAACAGCCAGGGTGGGCAGTCAGGTTTCCAGGCCTGGCGCAGGGGTGTGGGTGGCCATGTGGGTCCCCTGGTCTGGCCCAGAGGGTAGGGTTTGGGAACGTTCAGCATGGGTGCCAGCAGCCCTTGTGGAGGGGGAGCTTGCCACCGGTGTGCTGGCAGGCAGAGGCGGGGCCCGGGACGGGGCCTCGACACGGGGTGATAGTGAGGAAGTCGGGAGAGCAGGGCTCCTGGAAGCCAGCGGATTCCAACAATAACCCATTCAGGATGTGCAGGAAGGTGGCAGGGGTGGGTGGGGAAGGGCTCTGGCAGCCCTGTGGTGATGGAGTGATGGGAAGTGGCCCTCTTGGAGGTGGGCGGGCCAGGGCCACTGCTGGAGGGGAGGACACCAAGACTCTGAGACCAGGCCTTCGGCTATGGGAAGGACGAGAACCAACACCTGGGGTGCGTGTTGCCTCCCTCGGTGAGAGACACGGACGATGTAACAGGCAGAAGGAGAGGCTGAGGCCCGGAAAGGGGCAGGGGTTACTGGTGAGGCAGCAGCAGGGCAAAGGTGGGAAGACTGGGAGTCTGGGAGAGGCCCTGTCCTCTGTGGTCCCTGGGAGAGGCCCTGCCCTTTATGGTCCCCATAGCTCTGCCTTCCCACCCTCTGCAGAAGCTGACCTTAGACCTGACGGTGCTCCTGGGCGTGCTGCAGGGGCAACAGCAGAGCCTACAGCAGGGGGCACACTCCACCGGCTCCAGCCGCCTGCACGACCTCTACTGGCAGGCCATGAAAACCCTGGGAGTCCAGTAGGTTCTGGGAGGGGGACGCACACCTGGGGCGGGGGCTGGGAACACCCGCACGCTGCTGCACATGTACGTGCTCAAGCGCATGCTCAGATGCGGGAGCCGTAGGCCTCTGGGGCCCCACAGGACCCAGGTGGAGGTGGCGGTGGCTGCTGCCCTCACTGGGCACCTTCTTCCCTTGCTCACTTCCCTTCAGGCGCCCCAAGTTGGAAAAGAAGGGTGCCAAGGAGGCCCCCAGTGCCACCCAGAGCCCCATCAGCAAGAAGCGGAAGAAAAAGGGATTCTTGCCAGAGACAAAGAAGCGCAAGAAACGCAAGTCAGAGGATGGCACGCTAGCAGAGGATGGCACGCTAGCAGAGGATGGCACGCCTGCAGCCACCGGCAGGAGCCAGCCCCCCAGCATGGGCAGGAAGAAGAGGAACAGGACAAAGGCCAAGGTCCCGGCCCAGGCAAACGGGACGCCTGCCACCAAGAGTCTAGCCCCTGGCACCCCCACTCTGAGCCCCAGCTCCGCTGCCAAATCCCCAAAACTGCAGAAGAAAAGCCAGAAGCCGTCCCCGGTGAATGGAGCTCCCAGGTCCCCCGTGGAACCTGCAGGCCAAAAGCAGCATCAGAAGGCTCTTCCCGAAAAGGGGGTCTTGGGCAAATCACCACTGTCTGCGCCGGCACGGAGAAAGGCAAGGCTGTCTTTGGTCAGCAGGAGTCCCGGCTTGCTTCAGAGCGGGGCCAAGAAGAAGAAAGCGCAGCTGAGGAAGGCGGGGAAGCCCTGAGCACAGGCACAGGCCACCCTCGGCCCCTGCTTCCATCTGTCTGAGACTCCGATTTTTTTTTTTCTTTTTTTTTTTTTAACCGTGATTTAATAGGCAAGCTGCTTCTATGGCGCTGGCTCTGCCACTGGGGAGGGTGTCTGTGGCCACCTGCCCAGGCAAGCACAGCCTAAGCCATTCCTGCAGGGGTCCCAGGGTGCAGAGACCTCCCCGTCCCCGGTTCTGGGCTGGGACCTTGGCTCCAGGGCCATGTCCAGGGCTCTGGTGTTCGCCTGGGTGGATGCAGGTTGACGCACTGGCTGCAGGCTAGGTATAGGTGTGACCATCACTCCTGCCTGCCACCCCCCCCCCCGCCTCCCGCCCTTTCTGCTGTGAGGGAGCCACCAGGGAGTGATTTAAATAGGTTTATTTCTTCATTTACAAGAGGAATATATTTGGCTTCTCTCTTAAGACTCTGAGATTCACAATCAGCAGCCCTAAAAAATAAAGGAGCAGTTTGGCTTCCGGAAGGAAGAGGAGGCAACACTCGGACCTGGTTCTTGTACAACAAGAAAACATGGCTGGGGCCCCACTGAGGCTGAGGCTGGAGTGGGGGTGGAGGCTGGTCTTTGGGGGATACCACCCCCACCCCATCCTCTTGTCAGACCCCCAGGGGACCCCAGAGCTTGGTGGGTGGGTGTTCCACTAGCTTACACACCACTGAAGCCACAGCCAGCCAGTAACTAAGGGGCAAGAAGAGCATTGTCCAAGCCGGCTCTTGGGGCCTCCTGTTGGCCACAAGGCCCCCCCCGCACCAGAACCACCTCGATTGCAGCAGATGCGCAGGGAGTGTGTGACGCAGGAGGTAAGCTCCCCCAAAGCGGGTTGGGGCTGGTGTGAAGTTGGCAGCCGCATCCCGGTGTGTGCACGGATGGGACGTGGGTGATCGAAGGCCTGGCCCCCAGGGTCATTTGGTGGAATACCAGCGGGTAGGGGCTGGCGTCTCCCGGGGGCCTCGGCCTCAGCTCTGGGGCAGGAAGCTTTGTGGATAGCTGCTTCCTCCAGCAGCCGGAGCCCTGGCTGCTGCCCCACGGATTCTGGGAATGGTCTCCTGGGCCCTGCCCCTGGAAAAGGCTTGGCTCAGCCTCAGGGAGGGAGTGGGTTCCTGGCTTGGGGGCTGGTGGCAGGGAGAGGAGTCCTGCAGAGGTGGGCTGGTGTGTCCCTCCTAGAGCCCTCGAGCCTGGGGGCACAGGTGGTGTACAGCTGCAGCCAGGGCCTTCACCCCTGGTGATGCCAGCTTGTCAGAACAGTCCCCATCTGGGACCTCCAGGCTAGGAGCCAACCCGAGATAGTGTCCTCCAGAGAGACCAGCCAGGCCAGGGAGTACCCAGCGACTTGGGTGCCCAGCTTCAGTTGCCAGGTTGAGTCCGATATCCCCGAGGTCTGGGGCCCAGCTGAGAAGCAGTGGTCCCGCACACCAGGCCCTTACGTGAGCCTCAAAGCCGGGACTGCTGCCCGGAGGCCTGGGCCACCTGCTCTTTGTAAGGTCCAGGGTCTGTTGAGTCTTCAAAGCTGCAGATCCTGCTTTGCCCAGCAAGTTGTGTGGGAAAGTCTGGCCCCCTGGCCCTTCGTTCCAGGGAGGGCAGGGACTTGCCCAAGATCACATAAGCTGGTGGCAGGCCAGGCTCTCCCCGGACACCCACTTGGGGCTGTCTTCTTCCTTGGCCCCAGGGGCCCTGCAGCCCAAACCTAGGGCTGGGAATCTGTCCAACCATGTGGCTCCAACACACACATCCTTCCAGGGTAACTGAGGACACAGCCTCTTCTTGATGCCAGGGCCACTCAGCAGGCCCAGGCCAGAGAGGGGGGATGCCCAGCCGTGGATCACACACAAAGCTTTGGGGCAGCCCAGCCGGTCCCGGACGCTGTAGGACACCTCCCGGACGAGGTGGGAATGTGAGTTCTTCATTGTCCCAATGGCACCTGGGGAAAGGGGTTGTTAGGTCAGAAGTGGGGCTTAGTGAGGCCTATTCCACGGCTGCCCTCCCTCCTTCCCTTTTCTTGCTGTTTGGAGACGCAGGCCTTCCCCTGGTCTTGGGGCTGTGACCCTGGCTCTGGTGCTGCTGGGAAGCTATAGCTCCCAGAGGGAAGGTCCAAGGAGTCCGGCCCTGGTCCATCTAGGAGGATCTGGGAGAACAGAAGTCCGGACAGAGTGGGGAGTTCCTGGCCAGTCCTGGCCCTGACCTATGTGAGGCCCCACCCAGCCCTTGGAAGGAAGGAAAGGGGAGCTCATTTACTGGAAGGAGGAGCCTGCTGTCCCACCCATGGCTCCATCAGTAAATTCTGGCAACATCTTCAGAGACCAAGCCCAGGGTTGGTGGAATGTGCTGGGGCAGGAGGTGACGCCGAAGAAAAGTGCTCCCTGTCGCCTCACCCTGGCCTTCCCCCTTCCGCAGGGAGCCCCCGCGGGCCTCCCGGCCTGCACTCACCACCTCAGACTTTCACAGATGCGGGTGGCATCACCAGCTGGTTCACCCTGGGGGAGAGACGGGCGGGGGTCAGGGCGGCGCATCAGCGGGGGCCGGGCCCGGGCACTGCTCTGGCACATCGCGTCCTGGGGGCCAGCTGACCGGAGGTGCTGGGCAGGGACCTCGTCAGCCCCAGGGGGAGGTGGGAGAGCCCAGGGGTGGAGACAGGAGGAAAGAGGAAAGGAGAGAAGTCAGAAAGAGGAAGGGGAGGGGCCCAGCTTTGAAAAGCACCAAGTCCAGAGCCAAAGCCACGTCTGGACCCACTGGACACCCCTGTGGCCCCCCACAGCTCCAGGCTGACCCTGGTGCTGAGCCCCAGAGGCACGGGAAGGCCCGGGGGCTGGACCCCAGCAACCAGGTCACCCACCGGGTGCATGGGAGGTCTGTACCCTCCCCAGCCATCCCAGGGCAGGGCGCACAGGGGCTATCACGGTCCCTGCTTCCCAGCAGGCCTTCCCTCACCCCCACTCACTGCTGCTCAGCCTTGGCGCGGTCGCTGAGGAAGAAGAGAGCGGTGGCGAGGAAGAACATGCCACCCAGGACCACGACGAAGGGGCAGAGCATGAGCGCGTAGCCCAGGCTCAGGAACTCCCAGAGCGGGGAGTCCTTGGTGCTCTGGCGGATCAGGTCTGAGATCTGTGAGGATTTGGGGGTGGATGTCAGGGCAGAGCCCTCCCGAAGCCCCCCAACCTCCCCAGGCCAGCCCCTCCCCAGGCCAGCCCCACCCCAGGCCAGCCCCACCCCAGGGTTACTCACAAAGCCAATGAGGTAGGGGCTCCCGGCATCCCCCAGCAGGTGGGAGGTGAAGCTCTGCAAGGCCACAGCAGTGGCCCGCCGGGTGGGGATGACCACGTACTGCGGAACAGGCAGGCAGGTCAGCGGCCAGAGGAGCCAGGCCCACCCGCCTGGCCCCATGCCCGGGCCATGGCGCTTCTAGAGCCCCCACACCCTCAGACTCTCCCCTGCCCTGGATCTTGACACCTCTCCCTGCTGGGCCCTACCTCCTCCGCACAGTCCCCTCTACTGCCCACCCTGCCTGGCTGCTCCTCTCCCACCAGTCACCCCTCCTCCCTGAGCCCCTTCCACACACAGCTGCAGTCACCCCCTCAGCCCCAGGGGCTTCCACACCTTCAACCCAGACCACTGCAGCCTGCCCCAGACCGAAAGCATCACTGGCCTCAAACCTGCTGCGCCCCCAGGACACCCCTCAAAAATGACAATCTTCACCTCCCTCCCAGCTACATGCGGTCAAGGGAGGATACTTTGGGGGTTGCGCGGGTGCCAATCACTAGAGGCCATTAGCCTGGAGGCCTCCAAGTCTTGGAGTACCCAAGACATCAGGAACGGCCGCGCTGCCACCTTCCTGGGGTGGCTCCTGCTCCATTCCTGAGCCCAGGGTGCCTTAGCTTCTGCCCTTGGCCCTGGGTCATGGGGACACTGAGATCCAGAGAGGCAACATGTTCCCGAGGGAACCCGAACCCCAGCCGTGGCCATTTGTCCTCACCTCCCAACAAGCTAAAGACCCATCTTGGTTCCTTCCCCTCCCTGAAGACCAAGTGAGGCCTCGACTGGCCTGGGACGGGAGCTGGCCCCTCACCCATGGGCACCCTCAGCACTGAATGCCAGGCCCTGCTGGGCCCCAGACCCACAGGAGCTTTGCTTCAAAGCTAGGCAGGCCAGAGTCAGGAGGGGCTGGAGTGGTAGGATAGGCACAGCCAGCTCTGTGGGTGCCCAGGCAGCCCCTGTGCCCCGAACTCCGGCTGCCTTGCCTCCTCGGAGCGCCAGCCTTAGTGGGCATTGTGTGCAAGCAGCCAGCACCCATGGGGCATCCCGTTACGGGAGGTGGGGGCGGGTAGAAAAAGGCCTGAGTCTGATGAGGTGAGTGACCCCATTTCCAGCAGGAATAAACTGTGACAATAAACTGGGACACGATTTCCCTGGGACCCTGACCCTGCCGGCAGTTGTCATGGGCTCCTGGGGGTGGAGGCACGGGAGGGGTTGTGCCCAGCACCCAGAGCACCTGATCCACAGACTCACTCCTCCCTTCACGCTGGGCCTGTGCAGTGACCCTGGCACACCCCTGCCACCGCCCCATGGACTCAGGAGGACACAGTGACACCCCGGGGGCAGCGGAGATGCTGGGAGGCTTGGGGTGGGGCGAGGCAGACTTCCCGAAGTGCAGGAGCCACAGTCCCTGGCAGACTCATCTGCGGGGCTATGCCATGCTGGGGCGCCTAACCCCGAGCACCCTGAGCGTCCACCCCTGAGTCCTTCCTCTCTGCCCCAGAGCCTGCCCTGACACCTCCCAGATACTCTCCCCTGGCCCCACTCCTGGCTCCTCCCAGGGTGCTCCCATCCCCACCCAGGGACCCAAGCCCCTGCTGGCTGCTCAGACAGCCCTTTGTCCCTGGCTGGCTGGTCTAGAGCCCATTGTTGGCCCTGTGAAGACAGCCTCTGTCCGCCCGGCCCCAGCCGCAGGCACGCCTGGGAGCCAGGCTGAGCAGGGAGGGCAGAGCCCATGGATGCTCAGACCCCAGGGCGGGGTGGGAGGAGTGCTGGCAGGCAGCACCACCTCCGTGCCAGCCTGGCACTGCCAGCCTCCCAGACACTAACCTGAGCCTTGAGACACCCTCTCCCACTTGGTCCCCACATCTCGCCCTGCCTGCCCAACCCTGTTTTCCTGCCTTGTCCGGAGGCCGACCCCAAACTCTGATCCCCTCCCTGCCTCTGGGTTCATATTCCTGGCAGGCCTGCCTTCCCCACTACCCACTTCCAGCTCTCCCACCCCTTCATCGGCCCTCCCCAGCCACCCCTGTGAGGTCAAGAGGCCTGGGTCCGCAGCACAAGGTGACCTTGGCCTGCCTGGCTCACCATGAGGATGTCTGCAGTGATGGCCCAGTTAGAAAACAGCAGTGTCTCCCCGACGAAGATACAGATCTGCCCAGGAGAATGCAAAGCCACCGTCAGGGGTGCCTCCATCCACAGCAGCTGCAGCCTGCTCCCTACACACTGGCTGCTGGCAGGGAGCCCACGAATCCTCACCCCTCCCAGGCCCACATCCATTCATGGGCTAACCAGAGACCAAGCCATCCCTGCGGCCCTGAGACACCCAGAGGCCCTGGACAGGCCGTGGCCAGGCTGAGGATGAGCAGGGGCAGCCAGAGATCAGGAGCCTCCCCCAGGGAAGGGAACGTCCAGCAAATCAGACCGAATGTCCTGTTCCAGACCCTCCCGTGGCCCAGGTCCAGCTTCCCGGTACCCTTGCCCCCCGACTACACTCACATAGGCCCCTACAATGCTGCTCTTGGCAGCCACGAAGATCAGGCAGATGAAGATGGCAGAGCCCAGCATGCCCACGGCACACACCAGTGGGTCGGCCCGCTGGGTCTTCAGGCGGCACCAGCGCGTGGCTCCTGCACCCGTGACCACACCCAGAAAGCCCGTAAAGCAGGTGATGGCCCCAAAGATGAGACTGTGGGGACAGAGGACAGTGGGGCATGAGTTGAGGGGGCTAAGGCTGAGGAGCTCCTGTCCAAGGTCCCTCGCCAGACCCGGGCCCACCCCGCGGGGCCCCACCTGTCCTTGGCTCCACAGGGCGGGCTGTTGCACGTCTCCGCTGTCTTCTGCACAACTTGGGCGCGGTGCAGGTAGAGCGGGATCCACATGCCCAGGGCCCCTGTGGCGAAGGAGACAGCCGACGTGGCCAGGGAGGAGAAGACGTAGCTGCGGCTGGGGAGAGGCCAGGCAGTGACACTGAGCTCAGGGACCTCCTTCAGCCCCCATAGGCAGCCCCATGCACTGGGGACAGGAGGCCCCGAATGCCTTGTCTTACAGGCTCCAGGGATGAGGGTTCAGGTTGCAGGAATAATCGATTCTAGGGGCCAAAATGTCCCCCCTAGCACTGAGGCAGCAGAGGTGGTGGGGTGTCTGGCTGAGGGTGCTGGTGGGCTGCCCTGCAGGGAGAGGCCCTCTCATCTCAGCACCCTTCCCTCTTCCCACCAGACCCCTTCCCAGGTACTCACTTTCGAATCAGGGCCTTCATATCTCGGAGCCATGAGGTCCGGGTCTTGAGCTGGTCCCCGAGCTGGTCAGCATGGCCCCTTTTAGTGGCCGGGACCAGGATGAGGATGAGTGTTCCTGTGATCATGCCCAGGACAGGGGACACCTGCCAGGGAGCAGGAAGTTAGGATACCAGGGCCCAGTGAGCCTCGTCCCTGCTGCAGGAGGAGGGACTCGGGCAAGCCGTGCCTTCTCTAGGCCCTAGGAGTCTTCTCTGAGCTGGTATCTGCCCAGTCTTCCTAACTGGGCTGCTGAGAAAAGCTGGGGCTGAGGTCAGTCAAGAGACTGGAGGCTTGAGAAGGACTGTCCAGACCAGGGGCAGAACCAGAATGGGAAGGGTACAGGGAAGCCGGGCAGACTGAAGGAAGGAGGAGGGGTGGGTGAGTGGAGTGGTGGATGGATGGATGGAGAAGAGATGGCTAAAGAGGTGGATGGAGAGATGGACAGAGAGAGAGGGAGGGAGGGATGGACGGATAGACAGACAGATGGATGGACAGATGAATGGAAGATAAGTAGATAGCCAGATGGGATGATGACTTTCAGGGAGGAGATAATTCCTGGAGAAGGTTCCCCATGTAGGTTCCTCAGTCGCGGGGCCCTGGGAAGGTGCTGTCCGGGTATGAAGTGTTGGACTGACAGATCAGGTGGGCTGGCATTTGGTGGGGGGCCCATGCAGGCCCCACAGAGGCTCATGAGCCCTTTTGGATCTTCCCTGTGTCCAGCCCATTTTCCAGAACAGAACTTCCAAGGCCCCAGGCTTCTCTCCGGATGGGAGGGTGACATCCTGGCAGCCTGGATTCCATCTCACCAGCCCCACAGAACAATCTCCCGCATGCCCCCGGGACTGGGAGCCCCTGGGCTGGGGAGTTCCTCTGCCTGCGGCCTCCCTCTTGGCCCCCCCACCTGTCCCCCACCCACACTAAGAAATTCCACGGAGGCCACTTCCTTCCTGCTTTTAGGAAAAAACACTTTGTCTTAAGCTTCCGCTCCTCCGAGAGACTGGGGATCTCTGTTTCCTCCGATTGCACTGTCCTGGGGCCTTGGTAACTTGCCCCAAACCCAGCGAGACAGGAAGTGGCTCCAGACCCTGGGGCCCCCACACAGAGGTCTTGTCCCAGCCTTACCCTAGCACAGTGCCAGGGCTGGAAGCAGGAAGCTCCGCCACGGACCTGGAATTTCCTGACGTGGTGGGAGAATCCTTGATTCTCTCAACCTGGGACTCCCGAGCGGGAGATTCCAACCCTCAGCCTGGGGGCCCTGAGGGTGACAGGGCTGTGTCTGGCTCTGACACCTCAATCTGGACTCATCTGGAAGGGCAGGGATTTCAGAGTCCAGGCAACTGGGGGAGGAATCCTGGAGTTCTGTGTCCTAGCCTGGGATACATCTCTGGGCAACCCTGGGGCGAGATCTGGACTGAAGAGTGTCCTCATGGGAAGGGACGTAGGCCTTACCCGCAATGCCCAGTGCCAGTCTCCGGCTGCCTGCTTCACGCTGGAGCCAGTGATGTAGCCCAGGCCACTGCAGAGAAGAGAGACACGTCAGGCTGAGCAGAGACAGGGGCTGGGGACAGGGAGTGCCTGCTGGTCTGCAAGGCAGGCTGCCCACCCTCCCCACCCAGCCAGCTGGCCAGGGAGCAGGTCCAGGCATTTCTCAAAGGCTGACCACCTACATGTTTAGTTCTCTGAGGGCGCCCACCTGGGCCAGAACCCCAGGGAGTGGGAGCACTCAAAAGTCCAAGGGAACCTTGCCCAGATCCTCACCCAGCCCCTGGCATCTCCGGCTCTCACCTGCCCAGTGGGATGGCGAAGTAGAAGACGGACAGCATGAGCGTACGCGTGTTCTTGGTGAAGAGGTCGCCAATGATAGTGGGGGCGATGGTGGAGTAGCTGGCCTCACCGATGCCCACCAGCCCCCGGGACAGGACCAACAGCCAGAAGTACTGTGGGGAGGGGTGGAGGATGCTGGGGGACCGGCTACCCATTGTCTGCCTCTCATCCCTTGTTCCCACTTTGCTCCCTCCCCCTGCAGGGCCCAGGAGCCAGGAGAGAGAAGGGTGAGGGTGCTGGTGGGCTGCACCTCCGTAAAGACCACCTCCCCCGGCCACTCCGGGCCTCAGTTTGCCCCTCTGTGTAGTGGGTCTGACGGGGCCAAGACTATCCCAGCTTGAGAGTGGTATGGCCCAGGCAGGCCCCTCTGTCCTCATAGGCACTGGGGACACAAGCCTATGTCTCCACTACTCCTCCAACTGGGAGACCTCCTCCCTGGTTCTGACTCCACATCGGGAGCCTCAAGCCACCACCCTCCACTCTATCCCTCCCCCAAGCCGGGTGGCTGGGCCAGCCCTGGCAGCACTGAGGGCCCAGTGGGGAGTGGGCAGGGAAGCCCAGGGGACCCAGAACCCCCTCCCCCTGTACACATCAAAGGGCAAAGCCTGGCTGAGCGGGGAAGGGTGGGGCCCTGCCAGCTGCTGGTAGCATGACCCCTTTGATGTGGACCTGCTCCCTCCATGCCCCAGCTGCCCGGGGCCTGAGAACCCAGCCTGGTCATCTTTCCCCAGCCCCACCCTGGCCACCCATCTGGCCAGCATCGCCCATGTCCAGCCCTCCCCCGGGTCTCCCTGACTTCCCTCCATCTGCTCACCTCGCTCCTGGCTGCTGTGCCTGCAGGTGCTGCCTGCGTTGACCCATCTCTGACCCCTTCATGCTTGTGTCTCCTCCCTCTCCCCATCTCCCTATTTGCCCTTAGCTCCTCGCCTCTGTTTCTCTTCCTGGCAATCACCTGCCTACAGCCTTGGCCTGTTTTTCTGTTGGGTCATTTGTCTCTTTTGCATTAATTTTTCTTTTCTTTTTTTTTTTTTTTTTGAGACGGAGTCTTTCTCTGTTGCTCAGGCTGGAGTGCAGTGGCGCCGTCTCACTTACTGCAACTTCTGTGCCCCGGGTTCAAGTGATTCTCCTGCCTCAGCCTCCTGAGGAGATGGGATTATAGGCACCCAGCACCACACCCAGCTAATTTTTGAATTTTTGTAGAGACGGGGTTTCGCCATGTTGACCAGGCTGCTCTTGATCTGCCTGCCTCTGCCTCCCAAAGTGCTGGGATTACAGGCGTGAGCCACCACATCCGGCCCTCTGTGTGCTTTTAAAGAACAAACATGAGGCTGGGCACGGGGGCTCATGCCTATAATCCCAGCACTTTAGGAAGCTGAGGCAGGAGGACTGCTTGAGGCCAGGAGTTCGAGACCAGCCTGGGTAACATAGCAAGATCTTATCTCTACAAAAATTTTGCAAATAAGATAAAAATCAGGCCAGGCATGGTGGCTCACGCCTGTAATCCCAGCACTTTGGGAAATCAAGGCGAGTGGATCACCTGAAGTCAAGAATTTGAGACCAGCCTGGTCAACATGGTGAAACCCCGTCTCTACTAAAAATACAAAAATTAGCCGGGCGTGGTGGCAGGCGCCTATAATCGCAGCTACGCGGGAAGCTGAGGCAGGAGAATCGCTTGAACCTGGTGGTGGGGGAGAAGGTGGCAGAGGTTGCAGTGAGCCAAGATTGCGCCACCGCACTCCATCCTGGGCGAAAGAGCGAAACTCTGTCTCAAAACAAACAACATTTAAAAATCAAATGAACATGAAAGGAAACCCTCCACACATCTTATCCTGTAACTTGCTTTTGCCCCCTCCTTCTTATTTTTTTGAAACCCATTTATGCTGGTTAATTAAGTTCTTGTTCATTCTTTTCCTATTGAGTCTCACAGGGCCAGGCACGGTGGCTCACGCCTATAATTCCAGCACTTTAGGAGGCTGAGGTGGTAGGATCACCTGAGGTCAGGAGTTCGAGACTAGCCTGGTCAACATGGTGAAACCCCATCTCTATTAAAAATACAAAAATTAGCTGGGTGTGGTGGCGGGCGCCTGTAATCCCAGCTACTTAGGAGGCTGAGGCAGGAGAATCACTTGAACCTGGGAGGTGGAGGTTGCAGTGAGCCGAGATTGTGCCATTGCACTCCAGCCTGGACAACAAGAGCAAAACTCTGTCTTGGAAAGAGTCATATATACCATTAAACTGTGAGCACCAGTGATGGTCGTTTAGATTGCTTTTTTTCTTTCTTTTTTTTTTTGGTATTACTGTTCTTCTTACATGCATGTATCTACAAGAGAGAAACATTTCTCTCTTGAATGTATACCCCAAGCAGAAGGCTGGGCCATGGGAGATACACAGAGTTTTACAATATCCTGCCATTTTGCTCTCCAAAGAGGTTCTACCAATTTACACTCCCACCAGCAGGGCTGGAGTCCCCGATTCCCCACAGCTTTGATCACACTTGGTACTGTCAGCCTTTTTAATTGTTGCCAATCTGACGGGTGTGAAATGGGATCTCATTGTTGTTCTAATTTGCATTTCCCTGATGACTAGAGAAGCTGAGCACTGTCTCTTCCGACATGTATTGGCCATTTGGGTATTTTCTCCTGAAACTGTAGCTATCCCTTGCCCATTTTTCTACTGAGTTATTTGTCTTTTTCTTGATTCATAGTTCTAGTTTTTTTTTTTTTTTTTTTTTTGAGACAGAGTCTCGCTCTGTCATCCAGGCTGGAGTGCAGTGGCATGATCTTGGCTCACTGCAAGCTCCGCCCCCTGGGTTCACACCACTCTCCTGTGTCAGCCTCCAGAGTAGCTGGGATTACAGGCACCTGCCACCATGCCCAGCTAAATTTTTTTTTTTTTTTTTGTATTTTTTAGTAGAGACGGGATTTCACCGTGTTAGCCAGGATGGTCTTGATCTCCTGACCTTGTGATCCGCCCGTCTCAGCCTCCCAAAGTTCTGGGATTACAGGCGTGAGCCACTGCACCCAGCTTATCGTTCTAGATTTTAAGAGCATGCTTTTTGCTTTACTTTCCCCTTTTGAGACTTTATTCTGCAGGACGGTTTGAAACACAGGCCAAACTTTTCTTTCAATCCAGTTGGATACACAGTTCTTCCCAAACCACTCATCTGAGATGCAACTTTCATCCTATACTAAATCCCCGTAGAAATGAGGACTCTGGCTCATTGATCTTAGTCCATCCCTCTGCTGTTTTAGTTAGAATCACTGTATTTTGATAACTGAGAGGCAAATCCCGTTTCACTGTTATTTTTTTTCCACAATGTTCTTGGCTATTCCTGGGCATTTTCTCTGCCAAATTAACTTCAGAATCACATTGCCAAGGTCTACCAGAAACCCCCATGGGATGCAAATTGTGACTGCAATGAATTTATGGCTTCACTGGAGGTGACCTGTTTCTCCCTCTGCTTTTGCTTATCTTCCCTCCCCTTCCACACACCCAGAGATGGACCCAGACCTGGCATGGTGGTCCTAGACTTACTGTCAGTCCCAGGAGCAGCCTCAGAGGTCGGTGACCAGGGGCCTGGCCAAGGGCAAGATGAGGCCCTGAGGGGCCCTAGAGGCCTCTGGTCCAGTCTTTCCTTTTGACTGTGGCCGCCAGGCTCTGCTTGCCATCCTGGGCCTGGAGCTTTACCTGACCTGACCCTCCTCTGTGAAGCTGCCCATGAAGCAAGGATGTCCTTGGCAAACCTGCTGATTCTCTCTGCCCTCCCTCCAGCGTCCCTACCATCAACCCAAATCTGACCCCGCCATTGTTCTTCAGACTTTTCCAGAGCTCAGCACTGCCACAGAAGGAAGCCCAGGCCCTCTAGCCTGGCATTCAAGGTTCTCCATGACCCAGTCCCTGCTTTCTTTCCAGTGAGAATGCAATCCTCAATCTTTTTTTTTGAGATGGAGTTTTGCTCCTGTCACCCAGGCTGGAGTGCAGTGGCACGATCTCTGCTCACTGCAACCTCCAGCTTCCGGGTTCAAGCAATTCTCCTGCCTCAGCCTCCCAAGTAGCTGGGATTATAGGCATGTACCACCATGCCTGGCTAATTTTTGTATTTTTAATAGAGATGGGGTTTTTCCACATTGCCCAGGCTGGTCTCGAACTCCTGACCTCAGGGGATCCACCTGCTTCGGCCTCCCAAAGTGCTGGGATTACAGGCACGAGCCATCACACCTGGCCCGATCCTCAGCCTTTCAACATACTCCACCATTTCTGCATCTGTGTGTTGACTCCCTCTGCCCATGCTACCTTCACCAAAAGGTCTAATCTCACAGTCCTGCCTGCCCAGCGCAAATGCCACCTCCTCCAGGAAGGCTTCCCTGACCCCATGGATTTCAAGAGGCTGCTGTCTCTTTAGTGAGGACTCTCAGCACTTTTTCTGCACCTCTTGAAGGCTCTGAGCACAGGTGCTCCTGTCAAATCTTCCTACCCCGAAGCCTGGGTGCTCCCAAGGACAGAGCTATCCTGAAAGCTCCTTGGAGACAGATCGTGCGCTCCCCTTCTTCCTTCATCTTTCTCTACAGCAGTCATCATGTGATTGCCACTGTCTGCTTGAATATGCCTCGAGATGGGAAACTCACTACCTAACAAGGCAACGGTCTCATCTCTGGAAGGAGGAACAGAAACAATGACTCGCCGGGCACTCGACCTGTTCCAGGGTCTGGACCTTCACAGCTCAGCTGCTTCTCATGGGAAACCTTCAAGTTGGGAAGTATTATCCCCATTTTAAAGATGAGGAAACTGAGGCTCAGAGAGATTAAGAGTACGTTCTTCCAGGTCACAAAGCTAAGTAGGCAACAAAGTTGGGATATTCAAGCCCAGGCCTGTGGGAGCTAAATGAGAAGACTCTTGTTTGTGTTGAATTGATGTTTGCTTCTCTGGGATGTCGACCCAAGAAGTTAGCTGGTCATCAGACCAAGTACAAACTGAGCAAGAACCAGAGAGGGGTGGTGACTCCCCCAGGGTCACAAAGCCAGGTAATGGCAGAGCCAGGACTAGGACGCAAGGCCCTCACTCCTAGGCCAGACTTGTTCTTTGCATCCATCCCAAATCAGAGGGCCACTCAGGAGGAGTCAGGAGGCCACATGGGCTGGAAGGCTCTCAGTTCAGAGGCCAGTGTGGGGAAGGCCCCAGCTACAGGACTGGTTTACAAAAGTACCCGAAGGCCACCTCATCCTTCTGCACCGGGAAGACAGTGGGGTTCAAGCAGAGGAGCTGGAAGCCCCGGGCTGGATTAACACCAGCCAGTAAGACTAGCCACTCGCCGGAGGGAGCAGGACACCGGTCGGGGGAGAAGCCTGGGCGGGCCTCACCTGCTGGGGAATGAAGGAGCTGGAGAAGGTGACGGCCGACCAGAAGAAAATGCCACAGCTGAGAATCACCTTCCTGTTGAAGCGGTCGCCCAGGTAGCCGAAGATGGGGGCAGCCACCATGAAGCTACAGATGAACACTGCAGGGAGACGAGAGCTTGAGGGCCAGCCCAGGTCCCTGCACCCCAGCCTCCCAGCCCATTTCACGCCTGCTTGAGGCCAAGCGTCTGTGCAGCAAAGGGACCAAGGAAGCAGCCCAGAGAGGCAACTTCAGCCCGAGCTGCACCTCAGGAAGGTGGGAAAGGCCTTACGAGGTCAGGCACATCCATGACGCCATCCTCTCCCATGTATGTCCAGTTCGCCCAGTTTGTCCAGGTTTGGGTGAGCCCTTTGGGTACTTTTTAAAAGAGCAAAGATCTATTTATTGAATGTTTTCTACACGCCAGACACTATGCTAGGGACTTACCATGTCGTATCTCACTTATCTTTTTAAAATTTTTTAAAATTTTTATTGTTTTGAGACAGGGTCTTGCTGTGTCACCCAGGCTGGAGTGCAGTAGCATAATCTTGGCTCACTGCAACCTCCATCTCCTGGGTTCAAGCGATTCTTATACCTCAGCCTCCTGAGTAGCTGGCATTACAGGCATGGGCCACCACGCTTGGCGGATCTTTGTATTTTACTAGAGATGGGGTT